CTCTGCCCACCCCCAAAATCACTGGGAGAGGATGGGAAGAACGTAGGTCTGGCCCGCTCTTGCCAAAGCCTGCCCTTCGGAGTGATGGAGCGATGGGAGGAGGGGGGTTGGTCAGAAGGAGAAGATGATGGGCAGAGGGCGGAGAGAGAGCAGTACGGGAGAGAATAAGTACCACCAGGCCTAAGGGGGGCTTCCATCCCGCTCCTCTGGCCTCACTGACACTAATGTATTCAACCTGATGTCCATCCCGTTATGAATGAAGACTCAGCTGACTGGGCTGCGGGTCTGAGGGCCGGCAGCCCTGGCCAGGACCTCCGGGGCCAGGACTCACTGAGATCCCAGGACCAGGCAGCTGGCATGGGCTGGCTCCTCTGCCTGATGCTGGACGAGCAGGTGCCCATCTGGGAACTCACCAGAGGGAGCCCATTCTTACCAACCTGAGAAGCCAGCTCTCATTTCCTCCCGCCTCTCCCGTGTCAGTCTCCTGTCAGGCCAAGCCCTCCTGCCCTGTAGAGGTTTCTCTCTGGCTTACAGCCCTGTTGCCGGGATCACGTCTCTTTTCCTTTGATAAAGCCAGGGGGGTCTGCTCAAAGCTACTGACAAGCATCAGATGAGAAACAGAAACTGAGACATCGCCCACCAAGGATCCCAATCACACAATCCTGGGACCAGTGTAGGAGACAGGGCCCAAATGTGGCCACGAGTCTGCTTCCTTGCCCAGTGGGAGGGGCCGCTGCTGCCCTGAGCACCCAGGCCAGCCCCAGCAGGGTCTTTGTCTCTCTTCCCTTGCCTTCGGCAGATCCCCTTCCGTCTCCTCTGCACTCCCACACCTTTCCAGGAGTGGGCCCAGCTTCCAGAAGATCCAAAGAGGCCTCTGGTTAGCTCAGGGCCCAGGCAAGCCCAGAGAGCTCAGACTCTTCCTCGCAGCTACTCTCCACCTCCGGAAGTGGTCACCATCACCTTTCCCCAAAGCCTCCGGGGCAAGCGAGGTTTCCTCTGAGGACCCTTTGGTGGAAAGAGGGGACTCTCTTATTCGCCAAATCCAAGCTGGCTCCATCAGCCACTCATTGGGCGGAGAGTCCCAGGAGCAGAGAGACTCACAAGGCAAGGACCTGGGGGGCTTGCAAAAGCAGAGGCAGGGCCAAGGGCAGAGCCAGGAGGGGAGAGGCAGGGAAATCCACTGGTGGGTCCAAGCTCTGCCTGCTTCCTCCCAGCCCTGTTCCACTGCCCCACCCCTGCTGGCAAGGGAAGTGGCCATGGTGGCCTGGGCAAGAGAGATGTCAACGGGAGCGATGGCAGAGATGGGAGAAGGGGCTTGTTGACTGCAAACTGTCCATTATGGCTCAGATTATAAGCATATTGCGCAGGGCTCTCTGCACGATGCCGAGGAAATCCAATACGCTGAAAGGTTAATGCAATCAATTAGGGTGACAAGGAAGTAAAGTAAAGCCTTCAGAGTAGATGAAAAGGAGAGAGAGGGAGAAAGAAAGAGCGCCATGGAGTTGGGGGTGGCAGTACGGGCGGTGGGAAGGTGAAGAGGAAGAGAAACTAATGGGATGCAGAGAGAAGGCTTGGAGGGGAAAACAGATCTACAAAAGGCCAGGAGCCCGCGAAAAGAGGACAGTAAGAGAGACGGCAGCAGAAGCAGCAGGAAAGGGCAACTAGTGAGCTGTGCGGGGACCCGCCTCCCAGCTCGTCTCAGACCTCTGACTGCTGCACAGCTTCAATTTCCTTCCTGCTCCCCACTTCCCCCTCCCTGCCAGTCTTTCCTCTAGGGCTTGGAGCCTGGCTCCCAGATTAGCTCACAGCGCTAGTAATGTGCAGCCTTGGTCCCTGCCCCTGTGCTGAGCGTGTGCCCACCATGTAACGTCCAGGGCCTTCTCCACAGAACTGCAGAGTGGGTCCCAATTGCCCCAGAATGGGCCCAAGTTCAGACCCGGACTCTCCCCTTGGCTTGCTTTGCTCTCAGCAGACCCCACAGCTTTCCCCTATGCATCCTAGTTCGTACTTGCAACAAGCCTGCAAAGCAGAGAGTGTGGTGGTCAGGGCTCCGTTTTACAGACAGAGAAACTGGTGCTCGAGAGGTTATGCGACTTCCCGGGGCCCTGCAGCAGACATGGAGGACCCGAGACCGACCTGAGAACTCCAGTGACTCCCAGTCCACCACCCGTGCGGCATTTTCTTCCACGGCCCTCGCTCAAGCGAGGCGCCTCAGCTTCTCCAAGGTGAGGGACTCGGTGGTCCCGGGGCAGGGGTGGGGGACTGCATGGAACCTGCCTAGGGATGACTGCTGGCGCCTACATGCATGGTGGAGACCCAGGATCTGGCAGGTGAACAGGAATGAAGGAAGGAGGGAACGCAGGCGCTGCCTACCTGTCAGGCCCCGGGCTAGACACCTTCGGCCTCATTCACTCACTCGCTTGTCCCAATAACCCTGCAAAGTAGATATTCTGTCACCTTGCAGAAGAGGAAACTGTGGATCTGAGAACTTGCTGAAGGCTACAGGATGGAGACACAAGGCTCCTGGATGCCAGGAGCAAGAGATCTGAGGAAACAGTGGCTGTCAAGGAGAGGACAAGCCGGGACTTCTAGGTAGGTGGGACTGAGCAGGAGATGAGGTCCTACAAAGACTAGAGAGAGAAAGGGCAGCCCCAAAGGGACCAGGACTGCAAGCAGCCCCGCAACCTCAGGGACAGGGCTCCCTGACAACTGCCCAGGCCCCTCAGAGCAAGACATGAGCACAGAGCAGGATGATGGTTGCACAGCACTGTGAACGTACTTAATGCTAGAGAACTGCACACTTAAAAATTGTTACAATGGTAAATTTCATGGTGTGTATATTTTACCACTGGGGGAAAAAAAAAAAAAGAGCAGAGGGCAGGAGTCAGAAACCCTAGAGGGAGAGACAATAAACTTTTCCTATAAAGGGCCAGATAAATATTCTAGGCTTTTCAGGCCAGACGTGCTCTGTTGTAGCTACTCAGCTCTGCCATCATAGTGAAAGCAGCCATAATTGATATGCAGATGAGTGGGTGTGGCTGTGTTCCAATAAAACTTTATTTACAAAAACAGGCAGGGGGCCAAATTTGGCCCTCTGGTCATACTTTGCCAAGCCTTGCTCCAGAGAATGGAAGCACCTGGGGCTGACTTTCAGGACAGAAGTAGCCAATCTGAACCTTGCCAAGAAGTGGAAGGAAGGGCTGGGCAGAGGGCTCAGGAGGAAATCAGGTTCTCATTACCAGCAGAGGAGGGAGAAAAAGAAGGGAA